AATACTTGCTTCAAATGCAAGTTCAAGCTCAACAAAGGTGCTCAAATGCCCTCTTACAAAGATGATTCCATATTCACACACAATTTGTTCAACAATTTATAGTTCTAGAATCACAACAACTCTCACACTCACAATGATGAACACACGCATGACTTCACCCATAGGCTTGCCCTTATTTTCCAATAAACCTTCGTTTTAGCTCACTCAAGATCAAAACAGTCTTTTCAAGGCTTGTAACGGGGTTGAGTGTAAAGGTATGGTCATTTAGGCTCAGTGGTTGCTATCCCCATGAAATGTGGTGTGAACAACACTTCCTTTCCTTTTCTTATTCATTTTCATTCATGCTCCAAATTCACCCCATTATTCATTTTCCATGAAACTTTGGACACCCCATTTCTTTTTGCAACTTTATTTCAGAACTTTTTCATTCTTTTTCTTTTTCCTTCTTCTTATCTTTTCTTTTTTTTTGTATGGAGGGGTTCCACCTTTTTCAAAACCATGGGTAGAGGGGAATTCATTCACATTTCTTGATTTACCTTATCTTTTTACCACAGCCCCAACTTAGGTTTTTGGCCTAAGTTGGTTATTCAAACAAACCACATCTCATGAGGATTAAGGGTGAGGGGATAAAGAAAGGTCACAATTTCATCAAGTTTCTTCCAAGAAAAAGGGTAAGGCTCAAAGGGTGTTCAAGCAAGGATCACACACTCACAAGGTAGGCAACAAAAGACGTATAATGTCAAATTGTTTCACTCTTTAAAATTGTTGCCTAAGATCATTTCAATAGCTCACATCACTTGGTTAACCGGACCAACAGAGGTGTCATTACACATGGTTCACGGTAAGCTCATCACACAAGGCATTGACACCAATGTCAAACAAGACTCCACACTTTCGCTAGTGTGCAATGTTCATCACAAGAGACTCAATTTGACAATCGGCTAGTCACAACGAGATGGAAAGAGTTCACATATTGCCTTTGCAACTTCATTTGGCCTTATCGTAGACGCACATTCATGTTTGTTCGATTAAGAGCACTTTTCAAGTCATCGGTATTGATCACAACCGACACTCAAATTTTCACAAGAACATCCACAATTAAATACACAAGAGGTGGCAAAATGAGGTCCAAAAGGGGTTTCAAAAACACAGAGGAATTCATTGACCAAGCACACACCCCCACAAAAAGCATTCAACATTATCCCCAATGTGAGTAGAGAACGGACACTCCCACAAATAAAACAAGAATAAAAATAAAACTAGTAAATAAAGATAAAATTCTAGTATGTAAACATGCAGAGCAAGGTGAAAATGAATCTTCACTAAGCGCCCAGTTGGCGAGAAAATGAACCAGTCGCCGAATGCTTCGGCGGTGCGCCAAATGAGCTGAATATCACCTTTAGTTCCAGTGGGTGATAGTCTCAGAAAAGAGCAAATCGACGGAGATGCAAAAGGTCGCCAAACAAGTTGGCGATTTGCATAATGGTCTTGGAACATCGCCATTGAGTTACACTGTCAGCACTGAAGAAAAAGGGCGAGGAAAATCGGGTAGCCTAAGCACATCAGGGACTTGCCGAGTGATGAAGGTCTCCCGCCAAATGTTCTAGAATCTCAGCCCCATCTTTGAAGTCCATAGGGGGGACTATGTCGTGCTCACCGAACGGGTTCTGCGATATGCCAATAGCATCTTCTTCTCGCACAATATCCTGCATCTGCAAAAATCAACACACATTATTTAAAATACTAACACTTGGGTTTCCTCCCAAGAAGCGCCTTATTTAACGACGTGGAGATGCTCTCAAGCATCTTTTAGGTACACCACCTCAATCAAAGAAATTTCTTGGCACTCGCCACAGTATAACTTCAAGCGTTGCCCATTCACCTTAAATGGAGGTTCCTCTTGACCTTCAACTTCGATGGTGCCATTTCCGAACACTCGTGTCACTCTAAACGGTCGTGACCATTTGGACTTGAGCTTTCCTGGAAAGAGTCTAAGCCGATAGTTGTATAGTAACACCCAGTCTCCCACTCTGAACTCCATCTTAAGGATTTTAGCATCATGTCATTTCTTCATCTTTTCCTTGTAAAGGGCTGAACTTTCATAAGCTTTGAACCTGAATTCGTCCAACTCATTTAACTGCTCTACTCTCTCTTTTGAAGTCTTTGACCAGTCCAGATTTAGAGCTTTCAATGCCAACAATGCTTTGTGTTCCAATTCAACTGGTAGATGGCAAGATTTACCAAAAACTAATTGATATGGAGACATACCGATTGGCATTTTGTATGAGGTACAATACGCCCATAATGCGTCATCAAGCTTTCGAGACCAATTAGTCCTATTAGAAATTCATTTTCTTGGCCAAGATGCTTTTGATCTCCCAGTTTGACACTTCAACTTGGCCGCTCGTTTGGGGATGATACAGAGTTGCTACTTTGTGTTTCACTCCATACTTACTCAATGCGGCTGAGAACCATTTATTGCAAAAGTGGGATCCCCCATCACTAATAATAGCCCGAGGAGTACCAAATCTTGCAAAGATATAGCGTTTCAAGAATTGAACAACACTTTTCCCTTCATTGTTTGGAAGTGCAACAACCTCCACCCATTTAGACACATAATCTACAGCCACCAAGATATACTTATTACCAAACGAACTCACAAATGGGCCTATGAAATCTATTCCCCAAACATCAAATAGCTTAACTTCTAAAATGGGCGTAAGAGGCAACTCGTGTCTTTTGGACACTCCACCTTGTTTCTGACATGCACTTCTTCACAAACTCATGAGCATCTTTGTAGAGAGACGGCCAGTAGTACCCACTTTGTAGAACTTTAGCAGTTGTACGTACACCACCATGATAACCCCCAACCGGTGAAACGTGACAAGCATAGAGAATTTCAATGGTTTCTTCTTTCGGAACACATATTCTAATAACATGGTCAGCACACTCTCTAAATAAATATGGTTCATCCCAAAAGTACTTCTTAACATCAAACAAGAACCTCTTTTGTTGGTAAAAGTTCAGTTTGTCCGGCATTAATCCACACACTACATAATTGGCAAAATCAGCATACCAAGAAGGTTGTTTGAAAGTTACCGTGAATACTTGTTCATCGGGAAAAACATCATTTATGTCGATCTCTAGCTCGTCATTTTCCTTGCCTACCAATCTTGATAAGTGGTCTGCCACCTAATTTTTGCAACCTCTTCAAAGTTGAATTCTTGCAATAAAAGCGCCCACCTTATCAATCTTGGCTTGGCATCCTTCTTTGCCATCAAATAATGAAGTGCAGCATGATCAGTGTGAACAATCACTTTAGTACCTAGCAAGTATACTCGAAACTTCTCAAACGCATAAACTACCGCAAGTAACTCTTGTTCAGTAACTGTAATGTTACGTTGAGCATTGTTTAGAGTTTTGCTTGCGTAGTAAATGGGGTGAAAAATTTTCTTGTATTTTTGCCCCAATACAACACCTAATGTCGTGCCACTTGCATCACGCATTACTTCGAAAGATTCTGATCAATCAAGACTAATGATGATTGGGGTAGAAACCAATTTTTCTTTCAAGCACTTGAAAGCCACCATGCAAGCATCATCAAAGCGGAATTTCACCTCCTTCTCCAAGAGTTTGCATAGAGGATGCGCAATCTTTGAGAAGTCTTTGATGAACCTTCAGTAAAAACTGACATGTCCCAAGAAACTACAAATACCCTTCACCGAAATTGGTGGTGGTAACTTCTCAATCACTTCAATCTCTGCTTTATCAACTTCCAGCCCCTTTTGCGACACTTTGTGACCAAGCACTATACCTCCCTTAACCATGAAATGACATTTTTCCCAATTTAGGACCAAATTTGTCTCCACACATATTTGGAGAACTTGTCCTATGTTCTTTAAAGATGCTTCAAAAGTGTCACCGACAATCGAGAAGTAATCCATAAATACTTCCATTGAATCTTCCACCATGCCAGCAAAAATAGATAACATGCAACGTTGAAATGTAGTCGGAGCCTTAAATAATCCGAATGACATCCGTTTAAAGGAAAAAGAAACATATGGGCACGTAAAGGTCATTTTCTCTTGGTCTTCTAGAGCAATAGAGATTCGGTTATAACTGGAATACCCATCCAAAAAGCAATACCATTCTCTCTTAGAGAGTAGATCAAGCATTTGATCCATGAAAGGCATGGGAAAGTGATCCTTTTCAGTCCACGAATTTAACTTCTGATAATCCATGCATACTCTCCACCCGGTCACCAGTCTCATAGATACAAGCTCCCCCTTTTCATTTGGGACTACTGTGATGCCTCCCTTTTTCGGTACACATTATACCGGGCTTACCCATTTGCTATCGCAATAGGGTATATCACACCTGCGTCCAACCATTTTATTATCTCCTTTTTCACCACCTCTTACATCAGTGGGTTCAATCTCACTGATGTTCAACACTTGCTTACAATCACTATCAAGCTGAATTTTGTGAGTGCAAATACCTAAGGAATGCCCACTATGTTAGCGATAGTCCACCCTATAGCTTTGATATGCCTTCTTAACACCTGAAGGAGCAATTTTATCTGCCATCTAAGCAAGTCAACTGAAATGATCACTGGTAAGGTGTTATGTGCCCCCAAGAGAGCATATCGGAGATAGGAGGGGAGTACTTTCAACTCTAAATTTGGTGGTTTTTCTGTTGATGGCTTTGCGGGAGGACTTTCTCGATCTTTTAAATCAATGTCCAACTTCAATGGAGTCTTTGAATACCCCCCCTAAGCCTGAGAGAGCCGCTACTACCTCTTCATAGCCTTGAATTTCGAACTCATCATAGTTAGCAAGCACGGCTTCAAGTGGCTCACTTATACACATCAAATGGCTCACACTAGCCACCGCCTCATCAATAACATCAACAGTGGAGACTACATGAATATCACTTGGGTGTTTCATTGACTTACACACATTAAAGGTTACTTCATCTTCATTCACCCGAAACTTCAATTCTCAGCTTTCAACATCCACCAACACTCTTCCGGTTGCCAAGAATGGTCTTCCGAAAATGATGGAAATTTCAGCATCTATTTCACAATCGAGAATGATAAAATCAGTCGAGAAAATAAATCGGTCAACCTTTACCAAGATGTCATATAGTATCCCCACAGGATGTTTAATTGATCGGTCCTCCATCAAGAGTCTCATTGTTGTGGCTTTCGGTTCCCTCAACCCAAGTTTTTTATAGATCGCATATGGCATTAGGTTGATGCTTGCTCCCAAATCGCATAAGGCTTTAGCAAATTGGAGCATGCCGATGGTGCAAAGGATGGTGAACGCTCTAGGATCTTCTCTCTTTTTCAGCTCCTTAGTCATAATTGCACTACAACTATGGGAGAATTCGATTGTCTCAAAATCCAAACTCTTTTTCTTTGTGACTAACTCCTTCATAAACTTGGCATACCCCGGCATTTCCAACAATGCTTCCACTAGAGGGAGATTAATTGATAATGTCTTGAACACCGATAAAAACTTCTTGAACTTTTCATCCTCATTCTTCTTCTTTAGACGTTAGGGAAACGGATGAGATATTTTGGGTAAAGGTTGCATAACTTTTGGGTTTAGATTGTGTGTCTCCATATCCTTTTGTGGTCCTTTGGCAATGCTTTGATGGATAGGTGCCTCTTCTTCCTCCATCCCTTTGTTTTCTTCATGCATTTGAGCCTCTTCATTGCCCGTCACATAGCCTACTGCTACCTTTCCACTCCGAGTAACCACAGCCAGCTCTCTATCATCATCTTCCATTATCATTTTTGGTTTTAATTGTGATGAAAGTAAACTCAACTGACCTTCAAGTATCTTGATTGCATCTACGTGAGAGTTCACTTTATTGTTCAATGCTGAAAAGTCATTTTATCCCTTTTAACAAGTCATTCGAACCTTCAACTTTATCAAGGATGCGTGACAACAAATCATTCACCCGGGGACTACTTGTACTGCCTTTCAATTTTGGGCTCTCACTTGAGTGAGTGTGGTCCTCTTCATGGTCCTCCTTCATTTTCCAATAGTCATGTTGCTCAGCCCAATCTTGATAGTATCTTCTTTTCTCTTCCCCCTTGTGATAGTTCCAACCTTGATTCCCGCCCCGCTATAAATAGCGTGGGTGGAAACCCTCCTCGTATCTCTTGGAGTTCCAACCTTGATTCCCCCCTGGCTTTGAATAACCGGAGGAAGAACCCTCCTCAACTCTAAACACTCCACTTGTCCCCTTGGGCTTTTCCACATTCTATAATAGTTCCATTTGGGTCAACGTCTTCTTGATGTTTTCATCCCTCTCTCTTTCCTTATCAAGTTTCTCTTGTGTCATTCTAAAACAAAAAGGGGAGACTTGATCCTCTTGAGTGTACCACGCTTGATTTATTTCAGTCATGTCATCAAAAAGAAATGAAGCCACCTCAAATGATTGCAACATTATTCCCCCTCGTACCAATTGATCAGCCACCCCTTTATTAACCGTATCAAGACTTTGGTAAAAATATTGGAGTAGCAAATCATTTGGTCCCGTGAGTTGGGCATTTAAGTAGGAGTTTCTTAAACCTCATCCACATTTCATGGATGGGCTCACCCTCTCATAGCTTGAAACCTTGAATGTCGTCTCTAAGCTTCATCATCATTGATGGGAGGGGGGGGAATCTTGCATTGAATGTTATAATCAGTTCCTCCCATGATGTGATGGAATTGTTTGGTAACTCGGCCAACCACTTACTATCTTCCCCCATTAAAGATAGTGGAAATACTGAATTCGGATTGACTCTTGTGACACATTCTTTAATGAGAACGAGCAGCACATCTCTATAAAACTTTTTACATGCTCATGTGGGCTAGACTCCCCTCATTTGGAGGATATGAAGAGTCATACTAGTGACCTCAAATATTTCATTCCCATCGGCTTGTGGTACGCAAATTGCAACCATTTCACCTGAATGAGATGGGTTGTAAACACTATTGATATCATCGATACCGTCCTGATGACCTGCTTGAATACCATTCACCTCTTCCTCACTCATTTTTACTTCTATGTAGTCCAACAAACACTACACAATGCAGCCTAAGCCAATTCAACTACAACCAACAAATTCATAAATCAAATCTTTGATCAAAGAATTCTAAGTAACGCTACTCCCCAGCAGTGGCACCATTTTAATTAATGTTTCAAGGACACTTAATCTGATCGTTAGTCAGTATATAACTCAACCAATTGAGTTGGGGTTGATCCCACAGGGATTAGCTTTCTTTGAATTCAAATACGAAGGTATGACGATGAACTTTACAACTGGGCAGCACACACTTAAGAGTTTAATAATCAAGTTTTCAGGATGTAGTTACCAACACACTTTAAAGTACTAATAAGAAACAATTAAATAACTAGCAAACACTTGGGGGATTGACTAACCAACTACCGAATTCAACTTAATGGGTGTAAATCATTACCGATAATGTTAATCCATTGCGGGTAGAATGGACTATAAGTAAAACAACTTTCTCTCGAACAATTGCCTTATTTTCGTTGAGTTCTCTCGAACCTCAACACCATCCTTAAGTTAACCAGCCCACGTTCTCATCAAACCCAATCTTTTGAGCTGGATACAAAGGTTGGGTCTTGGGTTTCACTTTCTCAAGCTGAAACCGTCAAGACCCACTACTAAAGATGCCAAAATACTACGTTGGTTCTGTACTTGTCTCTCGAGCAAGCACAAAACTCTGAAATTTATCACACAAAAAATACAATAATGATGTTAAACCACCATAATAATTTAGACCCACTTCAGATTAGAACCACAAATCACTAATTGATAACACCCATTTAGTAGAAGGCAACAATTGGTCACATTGTTAAACCCCCAAAGTTAGGGTTTTAGCCAATCATGATGAAAAGATGAAAATCAACACCTGCCACGTTTTCCATAGATGGGTAAATGAAATTCAGAAGTTAAAATCAACTACAATCTTCTCTATTACAAAATTTCAACGAAAAACCTTGCTAAAATAACTTGAAATCCATAATGGTTGTGTTTTTACTCTCCATCTTTTGTTCCTCACATTTCTGAATGTGTTCTCTCTCCTCCAAAAATCAATTTATTCAAATCTGATCTGTAGTTGTTTAGGACCAATCGGTGAGATAAGTCAGGGTTCACCGATCGTTCAGCCACTCACTGAGTTTTCTTCGTCTCACATTTATTTTTCACCTCTTGTTAGTCCAACCACTATAACTTTAGGCGAGCTAGATCGGGATCGCCGAGTGATTCCGCGAAGCGCCCTTTTTCCTCTTCTCTCGCCCATTAGCACTTGTCGAGATCTTCAATAGTATTTTTGGCGACTGATCATCCATCGCCAAAGCGATCGGCGACACATCGAGTGGAACTGCTGCTCGCCGAAGCTACCCCTAATTCAGCCTTTGCATTCTGTTACTTTAGGCGGTAGAGTGGCACTTTGGCAAGTTGCCGAGTGACATCGGTGATCGTCAGGCTTGTTTTTCCCTTTCTTTTTCACTCGTGTTGTCTCTATTACCCATTTCTATCCTAGCTTTGTTCCTCAATCCATGCATCTGGAAATCAACGATTTCGCATCAGTTGTTGGCACAAAATAAGAATTTGAGGACACTAAATTTATATAAATAAAACCCTAAATGAGTCCAAATCTCTGACTCATCAATAGTTCCCTTATCTATATGAAGTAAGCTAATAATGAGACCAAAGAAGGGTAAGTATGACTAGGATTAATTCAAGGTTATGCTTAGTGTGAAGGGTATTATGTGATGCCTTTCATGTATTGCACAAGTGTGCTTTGAGGTTTCTTAGGAGTATGGTGCCTTTATGGTAGAGAAGCTTAAAGACTTAACCATATATATAAACTATGATTAAGATGCCCAAAAAGGGATACTTAGCTTGGGTGGTATTATGGGATGCTATTCATGCATTGCACACGTATGCTTTTAGGTTACTTGAGAATAGTTCTATTATGGTAGAGATGACTAAGAGTTGAATAATGCTTATATGTTTCTTATGGTCAGAGACTTTTCTTATGATTATGATATTGTCACATATGCGTATAGTTTATATTTCATGACGTATTTCATATGATTATGGATTATGTCTCATATTGACTAGCCCTTGTATTAAGCTCTTATGATTATGACAGCTAGCATATTTAGTACATTTTGTACTAACGCATACTTTTCCTACATTCTCATCAAATGTAGGGTTTGGAGATTTGAGTTCTATTCTTGGAGATGGGTTTCTAAGGAGCAAAGGAGTTGAAGATTTTGGTGAGTCCTCATAGCTTCCAGGACAAAACCCACTAGTTCCTTTATGTCTTTTATTTTCATGTTGAGACTACTGTATGGGCTGTGTCCCAAAGCTTTTAATTCAAGTTGAGTTTATATGGTTGGAGACACAAGTGTAGTAAAGTCTTTTGTTTGCATTTTATGAAATGACTTTGATTGTATGGATAAAAGTTTTTAAAATTTTCATACTTTTCTATTATCTTATGTCATGATATGCTAAGGGCTTGTATGAGACCCCTTCGGGGTCAAGTACGCCATGTTACATCTAGGATGTACCCCTGGATCGTGACAACTCTATGTCGCATCTGGTTAGTATTTGAGTTGTAAAGGTGGAAATAACAACACCAACAATAGAAAATGTGTCCTAGAAATAGGTATGTATCCCTGACTCATTGTGGGCATGTATTGACTAGAGACAAACATAAGGTTTGTATTAGGTTCTCAAGGTTGATACCTTCATTCTTCATGGTGCTGAATCTAAAGATTCTTAGGATTCCCTTGATGACTGTCATGAGTTTCTTCATGAGATGAATATAGTGGAGAGGTTTAGGGTTAAGTTTGTGACATACCAGTTCAAGGGAGACACCAAAATGTTGTAGTGGTATCATGTTGAGTGTCGAATAGTAAATGCACTACTCATGACTTGGGAAACATTTGATAGTTATTTGTATGGAGAAGTATATACCCTGAACTTGAGGGATAAGAGGAGATTATGAGTTCCTGAATATAGAGCAACATAATGTATTTGTTGCAGCCTTTAAGGCAAAGGGTCATGTTTTATCCAAATAAGGTACTCTACTTTGTTTCAGTCTAGAAGAGAAAATTCATCGTGTTGTGAAAGGAGGGATTAAGTCAGATTTGCATATTTAACCTTATAGGTGGTTGCTTTAGCAAAAATCTTTTCAGGAAGTGGTTTATTTGGGGACGGAGGTAGCAAGGGGTGAAGTCAGAGGACTTTTCCAAGATGACAACATTCAAGAAATTTTGTAAGGGAAGGCTAGAGAATGAACACCATTATTTGGAAAATGCATTTAGTATTGTTTTCATATCATGTATGGGTTGCTTAGTAAATGATGAATCATGTTGCGACAATTCAAGTTAGAATCTCTACTGCGATTTCCCAGATTGA